CCTGAGCTATCTTAGCCTTTGGTTGAGCCTTCTTTACTCTTTTCGGCTTCGGTGGAGGTTGGGTTTGTGCTGATTGATCATCAACAGATGATGGAATGCTAGCTAAGAGGTCTTTTGCAACTGATTTTGGGCGGCCCATCTCGGCAGTAAGGACAAGTCGTCGCCGACGTTTTCATTCTGATATTGGGACCAGGTATGGAGCCGAAGTTGATGGCTGATCAGCTGGATCAGATGTTGACCCTTGATCTATTCGTGATGTGGATGCAGTCAATGGAGTTGTAGCAGAGGGTGGAGAAAGGTTTTTCTTCTTCCTTTTGGGAACGTCAGGCAAAGTTGACTTATATGTTGGAATAAAATTGAGAAGCACAGGCGCTTTCCTTTTATAGACTGGCAAGTCCAGAAGTTTCTTCAAATCCTTGTTGGGAACAAAGGATTGGCGAAAATTTTTTGGTGGCTTACGAACAGCTGCAAGAAGAACAAATGTCAGAAACAGACAAAATATTTAAAACTTTGAAACAAAACAGGCAAAGCTAAATACTGGACTCTTACCCTTGCCCTCTAAAACTGATCGAGGAAGAGGGTAGAGATGGATGTCCTCGTCTGGAGCAAACTCCCAATTTCCTGAGGTAATGAAATAGTCATCTCCAGCCCCCTTGTTGGAGTCTGGGAGGTCGGCTACGATTTTATATTCTGTAGACCTCGGCTTAAGGTAATAAATGTAGCCTTTTTCTCTCAAATTAAGGGCACACATGGTATAGCAGTATTGGACATCGGCTAAGGTAATCCTAGCATTTTCCTGTTTAACTAAGGCTATGATGCCATTGATCACTCGATAGGAATTGATTGCCAATTGCATGGGGTTCAATTTATAATAGTGAAGAATCTCACGAAAAAAGATGTTGAGTGGGAGCCGGAGTCCGCACTCAATGAAAGCTACAATGGGAAAGGGCATCGAATCATCTGTGGGCATGATAGAGTCGTTATCTCCAGCCAGCCTCAGATGAACATCGGCAGGGATAGAGAACTCTTGCCTAAAGTACTCAAGTTTGGTTGGGGTATCTACCCTATGTCTCCACATACCCATGATATCGGCCTGAATTAGAGGGGTTGGATTTCAGAGAAAAAATGTTTTAAGAGGATTAATAAGACCTCGGCAAAAAACCTAGGTTTGAACTGGTGCCGAAATTTGTAAGGAATGTTTCAGTTTTTTCTAAAATGTGGGTTCTACAGACAAATCCCAAACCTAAAACTATGGAGATGAAGATCAAAGGCACAGATCTGGAAAAGACACAAAAAACAGAAAACAAAGGCGAAGTTTTAGAATCAAGAACAGAGATGGACTATCAAGAACATGAAGAATACAAAGGGTTGAAGGCCAAGAACAGTGGCAAGATGTGCAAGAAAACTATGAACAGTACATGTATTTAAGGCATAAGTAAAAAGTGAAATCAACGCATTCAGATATATGATTCACAAATTAATTGTTTGAGCAAGGCAGTAGTAAACAAGAAATTCCAAAAAAACTCAAGAAATTGGAATAAGAAGAAACAAATTGCTTACCAGAAAATATGAAGCCGATGTAAAGATCGCTAAAATCAGATGACGGTCGTGAAGGCAACAAAATGGTGCAAAACACGCCGGAAGGGGTGAACGGAATAAGTTTCAGAGCAAAAAAGCTTGAACAATGGTGGACTCAAAAAGAGTAAAGTTTGAGAGAGAAAAAGCGAAGAGAAATCGAATACAAAAGTGAAAAATGAAGAAAGGGGGAAAAGTTTTGTCAAAAATTTGAAACGGTAGCAAAACGGAGCATTGAATGCGCCTGGGACAACGCATACGTCAGACGGCGCACACAGACGCAAAACGGCTTGCAAGCACGTCATAGGCACGGTCCAATAAGGTGGAGACGCGTGAATGAAACGGTTGAGTAAATGATACGTGACAGCTCACACATGTGAAAGAATTCACTAGAATTCTTGTTCTCTGAAGAAAACATGTCAGCCTGAAATGAATGATCTCGGCTGAGGAGTTATTGAGCCGATGTACAGAAGGAAATACCAATATAGGTTCCATCACCTCAAAATGCCGAGGTAATAGAACCTAGGGGGCAGTTGTGGGGATATATTTTCTGAGTACCAACACGTGGCAAGATGACGCCGATGTGTCAGCCGAGGTGCCACGTGTCCTGGTCATTATGCCGAGGTTATCTCGGCCTTGCCGAGGTTATCTCCAAAGATATCGGAATCCGAGATAAACGGATAAAGGACAAGAGTCCTAGAATGAGGAGGAGACTTAGTCAAGATGAGGATAAAAACTCTTAGGGAGTTTATCTTTATCTCTTGAGGAGTCCAAAGTAAGTACTGAATTGGAGTCCATAGAAGTCAGGCTTCTAGTGGGATTAGGATTGAGTTAACTATAAAAGAGAGGCACCCCCGTGGGTCTAAGGTACGCAATTTTATGCTTTGAGTAGTAAATTTAGCACTTGATTATTTTTGAGAGATATACTGACTTGATCGTCGGAGTGTCCCCGAGTGGAAGAACCACCGCCGGGGCCTTCTCTTTCTGTTACAGGTTAGCTGAAGCCATCTATTCTGCCGGTGCTCTCTAGCTGATTATTAAACGGGCAGTGTGATCAGAAAATCACCCACACACTTAGACTAGGCAAACATGAAGCTGAATGAACAACAGTTAGAGTCTTTATCAAGTCCAACAACCGTGAACGAGTCTAAAAATCAGAAAGAAAGAAAGAAAAGGTTAGAAAGCAAACGCTTTTCTGTAAGAATATTCATAAAGCAATTCATATGCTACATGTTTGTTTTATTTATTTATTTATGTATATTATATATATTTAATCAGTTTAATGGATAATGGGTAACTAACAAGCATATCCATATATATGTTTGTGATAATTATCAAACACAGAGGTTTTGTGAATAGAATATGCTTGAAACTCTGTCCCTTCTACTTTTTTTCATATGGTTCTGTAAAAGTGTTCTGTGGGTGGGTTTTGTTTATATATTCAAGATTTGATTATTTAAGAATAAAGATTCAAAGGCTTGGACATCATGACATGATGTATTTTTCTTTTCAAATTAAAATTATTTTAATTCTCACAATTAATATCAGGATTTCCTTTTGTTATGTTGTTTAGCCTTACTGTATTTTTATGGAGGCCAATACGTTATACATATTTTCCTAGACATCTGTTCTGTTATGACGTAGACATTGGCAATTTTATGCGTTTGTTTAATTAATTTTAATATATTATTATCTTTTACGCTTTCGCTGCGCATGTTGGTCCATTCTGATACACCACCATGAGCCCTTACACCTTTGCTTTGTTTTCTCTTGTGAAGAGAATCTAAAACTTGCAGACCATTATAAGTGAAGTTGTATATGTAGAGGATTGATAGTCTATTACCTAGTGGTGAATTTTAGATCTATATAGTGACCATTATTATATAAAATTTGTAGTTTTACTTGCATATTTTTGTACTGTTTAAACCCTTTCGGATCAGTAGTTGAAACTAGCGCCTTAGACCAAATCAGTATAAACATTTATTGTTTGGTTTCTCTTGGTTTTTTTTTTATTTTTTAAAAAATAAAATAAAATCTGAAATTCGCTGGATTGTTTTCTCACTATTAAAGATAAATTGTTGCTTAATGTATATTAATTAGAGGCAATAGAATTTATCTTGTTCTATAATAGCACTGTTAACATTAATTTAGAAGTATTTCTATTCTAAAATTTGCTATGTTTTGGAAACCTACTGTATGTGATTAAGTATGAATTTTCATATATCGACACACATTGAAGACCATTTTGTATCAAATCTAGAAATTTTCATGCTTTTATTTGGATTTGTTCAGTTAATTTTAAAAACATAAAAGACTTAAATTTATTTTTAGATTCTTGTAAGAACGTGATATTAAGGATATTTTGTTTATCATAGTTGTATGTGTAAATAGTTAGTAAATTCTTTTGAATTTCATACTGTGAACTATTTTTAAAATTTTCATATTAATTAACATGCTCTCTAGTATAGTGTATTATCGTGTTACAGATGTTAAGATTATTTATGCCATGAAAATTTATGTGAATTAAGTGCATGTGTGTTGGATTTATGGAATTTATTTTGGTCCAATTTTTAAGCCAAATCTTGTATAAGGTTGATTACATGCGTGACAACCCCATCACGTATAATAATTAGTACTTAATTAATTAAAGAGATTTGAATTTTAATTGTTAATTATTCCAATTTAATCTGAGATTTATGAAAACAATGGAGACTGATTTGTATATAATTCTATTGAGAATTTATTTTGGAATTAGAGATTGAAAGCCTACATGGCTCAAGAGAGTATAATTGATTGATTGAATTATTTAATTTCGAGTATCGGACCGTATGAGAGTTTAATTAAATATTCAAGCCAGATTTGTAAAATTGAGATTTGATTAATTGGGTCTGAATTTGAATTGATTAAGCTATGAGAATTGGGAATTAAGGTTATTATGAATTAAATTTATTTGTGAGGTATTCAATTGAGGTATTCGATTGAATATGTAATTTATTGACGAAGATTTTGAAGTTTAATATGAACTTGAAGGCGTTAATGATTTAAGAAACCAAAATTGAGAATGAAAATAAATTTAATTTAATAGTTGGAGCCTTTTGGAAGTCTGATTAAAATCTGATTCAGATTGATAATTTAAGGATAATTAATTGAGCTTTAATGGAAGTCAAATTAGACTAGTTAAATTATGTGGGATTTATGATTAGTTATAATTAATTTAATTATGTATTAATCAATATTTATTAAAATTAAGTGAGGCTCAATTAAATTAATCCTAAACATAAATTAATTTGTGGAAGAATTTGGAATTAAGGGTATAAATGAGCATGGGTGTATTTAGCAAATTCGTGGGTGTGTGTATATGTTGACGTGTGCGCGCGCGCACGTGTAAGGCTGAGGACAAGGGGTGAGTTGTGTATGTGAGTGGGTGAGTTCAAGAAGAGGTGTAACTTCATTTCGCTCGCAACAAACATTTGGAGAAGTAAAGAAAAAGAGTGAGAGAAATAGAGAGGGAGAATCGAAGGAGAGGAAGAAGAGGGCTTTGTGAGACATCAAAATTCAAGTCAAAAATTGTGGAAAAATCATCCTAAGGTAAGAAATCTCATCCTCTTCCTTCTATTGTTTAAATAATGTAGGTATAAATTGATTTAAGATGAGTTTTGAGATGATTAAAGATGAATGTTGAAGAGGTTTTGAGGTAAAACGGGTTTCAAGAAAGTGTGTTTAAGTCAATTAGTCTCCCAAATTCTTTGTAGACAAATCTTTTTCTTGGTTATAATATTCTATATACAGATTAAACTCATAAATCTGAAATTGAATATCAAATTAAGAATTTGTTGATTTTGGTTCTTAATCTATGTTGTAAATCTAATTTGAGAGTTTTTATTTTATTCAATTTAAACATGTTTGGAAGCTCTATGATCATAATTTAAGGTTGGGTTGTACATGCAGAAAATTGATATAAACCTAAATTAAAGCAAATTAAGGATTAAATTAGGAACTTAATTATGTCTTGATTTTGAAATATATATAAAATTTGTTAGTTGTAATTTTAATTGTGCACACGTAAATATCTTTTCTAGGAATTTTATAATCTCAATTTTGGATTTTGAAGAGAAAAAGAAAAGAGTTTGAGATTGACTTCATATAATTAGAAAGGAATAATGAAGGGATGGGAAATTTGGAATAGGATATGGAATCAAGAAATTAACTTATGAAATAATCATTTTGGGTTTAAAAATGACCTTGTTTTCTTTGTACGCAAATGTTTTTCTGTGGATTATAAATCATCTATATATGAATCAAAACTATAGATATTAAATTAAGGATTGATTTGAGCCATGCAAGTTATTATGCATTTGATTTTGTAAAAAAAGTTTTGAATCATGAGTTCATGGGTTTTGATTTAAATATTATGTTTTGAATCATGAGTTCAACATAAAAAGATGTTATAGCAGGGGCACCACTTCGGAAAAGTTTGAACAAAATTTGTAAAAGTCGTACATCCCTTTTTGTGAAGAATAAACAATATATATATATATATATTGAATCTTGGGTTTTAAAATCAAACCCTAATTGTTACCAAATTGAATTGGATCTCTAAAAGTTAGATATAATATATTAAAATATATTATACTCAAACCAAACTAAAATTCTTTTTCCAAAACCAATTGGGTCTCAAACTCCAATAAGGAGATATATCCCAACAATAATACCGTGGTCTCATGGCCTTTGCTCGGGAGGAACAATACCGTGGTCTCATGGCTCTCGCCTGAGGGTAACAATACCGTGGCTTAAGCATGTTTTGTGTTCCCAATACCGGAGGTTCTTTTATGGAATTGGTCAAGTATGACCCTTAATGCTCTGTATCTAATCGGTTAGCGCTAATGGGTGTACCACGTATGATCTTATGCAAAATCTGAATATGAATATGAATATAACTATGAACATGTATATGAATCTGTTTCTCATTTGAAATCTGAATATGCATAAGACTATGTTTCTGATAAGAATCTATTTCTGATATAAACTCTGATTTCTGACTCTATGATGGATATCATTCATTAAAACCCTTTACTTTGTTATTATTCATTGGGTTTCAGCTCACTGTATTATTTATGTATGTGGGTGATCAGGTGCGTGACCAGGCTTAGAGTATTTACCTGGACTCTGTTTTGTCAACCAACCTATGTGCCTCCCGTGGAGGTTCCGAATATGTCTAGTGGTTATGGTTAAGTGCATAAAGTTTAAGTTTTATTTTCTTGTTTGGTTAAACAAGTCTTTGTTTATTTTGTAAATAGGGCTAACTCCCTTTTTGTCTAATCTGTATATATATTTATATATATGATGACATAAGAATGATGTGTAAATATGTATATAAAAAGTTTAAAATTTTTCTGTCTCATGTAAGTCTGCACAACTTAATGGATATTATATATTTGTTATTTGCTTCCACTAGCCCCTAATATTATGTTAATCTGTCTCAGAGGTATTCGGTAATCCCAGAATTACTGGCTGGTTACGATGCTAAACCTATGGAGGTAGGTTTGGATCTTGACAACATGGGTTTTGGTCTTGGAATTTTCATGTGATATTATTCTGATTGCATGTATCATATATTATGTGCATTATAAGGTTATGTACTTGATTGTGACTATATGGATTTGCTCACATTAATAAATTATGCTATAATTAAAAAGATTTTATTCTGTTTTAAGACTACCAGAGCATCTTAAAAACATAAAGATGTAGTGATCCTTAGTATTATGATCACATACAGTTAAAAATTAATTTTGCATTTTTCATATTGCAATTGTGTTTTATGAATAATTTCTCGGTTTCACAGGAAAGTAGTTATTTATAAAATTTAATTGGAATAAGATAATGGATTGGGTATTAAAGGGATTGGACACTCTAAACCCAAGTACGAGTTTTCTTTTTCTTGAATATTTCGAAATCCATTAGTCTTGTTATAAACTAATAGCAAATCTAATAAAGTTTAGTGGCCTCTACCCATAGGAAGGTTTGGATTTGTTATTGAATTTAACATTGGTTGATTCAGACTATAGTTATTATTTCAAAGCATTAATAATGTTTTGGTAATTGTAGTGATTTCTCCCTCTACATTGTCTAATGAGTCTTCTCGTATTCTATTCTCAAATGGTGATAAGTTTTCGGACTGAAAGGACAAAATCCTTCTAACATTATGGTGCATGGACCTCGATCTAGCACTCCGTGTGGATGAACCTCTTGAACCCACGGACTAGAGTTCCGCTGTAGAAAAGAGTGTTTATGATAAGTAGGAGCGATCTAATCGCTTAAGTCTAATGCTCATAAAGTCACATATCAGCCAGAGCATTAGGGGCTCAATCTCACTATCTGATAAGGTCAAGAACTACATAAGGGCTATTAAAGAGCAATTTGTTAGTTCTAACAAAGCATTGACAAGCACCCTAATGAACAAACTATCAGGTTTGAAGCATAATAATTCTAGGAGTGTACGTGAGCACACTATGGAGATGAGAGACATTGCAGGTCGTCTTAAGTCCTTAAAGATTGAGATTTCTGTGTCATTCCTTGTCAATTTCATACTCAATTCTCTTCCTGTGGAATATGGAGCATTCCAAATTTCTTACAACATCCAGAAGGAAAAATAGTCTATCAATGAACTTTTGACCATGTGTGAGCAGGAGAGATTGAAGCATGGAAAAGTGGAAAATGATCATTTAACAACACATAAAAGAGGGCAATGGAAAAAGGGCAAAGGTGATCAGAAATGAAAGAAGTTTGGTAAAGTGCCATTTCAAAATCATGGCAATAAGGATGCATGCTTCTTCTGCAAGAAAAAAGGTCACATGAAGAAAGACTACCCCAAGTATAAGAAATGGCTCGAGAAGAAAAGTAATCTCATATCTCTTGTGTGTTATGAATCTAATTTTGTTAATACTCATCGATATGATTGGTGGATTGATTCGGGTCTGCAATTGTAACGACCACAAAATGTGTATCAGAAATTATCTTTATTTAATTATGGGTTAATGTGCTTTAATTTAATTATATCTGTTTGAATTGATGAATTATCTGTTGAGTTACGACTTTAAAACTGAAATTGCCGACTTTCATGGGTTCAGAAATCAAAATTGAGTACATGGATATGCTAATGGGAATTTTTAGAGCCATTTGGAAAAGTTAATTGAAAATTTATTTTGTCTGATTCGTTAAGGTGTGTTTGGGTGGTTAACTTTGCACTGCAAATTAAAGACCCTAGAGGTTTCAGAAACTAGAACGAAGTACATAGTTATGATCAACATGATTTTTACGGCCTCGTATGAAGTTTCGTAAAAATCTGATTTAGAATGAATTAAATTGATTTTCTTTAATTATTATATATTATATATATATTTGTGTATATTAGCCTTGCTTGGCTCAACAAAAAAAAAAAAAAAAAGAGAAGAGAGCAAGAGATATTTTGACGGGCGGGTTCTGGAGAAGAACCGAGAGAGAGAGAGAGATAGATAAAGAGCTTCTCTAAGAGAGAGAGAGCTCAACATTCATGGGATTTGAAGACAAAATTTAAGAAGAAGAACTTGAAGAGATTTAAGAGAAATGAAGAAGATCAACCATGAAAGCTTGGGAAAATTGAAAAGATTCAAGGGGAAAAGCAAGGATTTGAGTTAAGGTATGTGGCTTTAATTATTATCTTTGTAAATAATTCATCTACCACACGAAATCAAGGATTAAATTGGAGATTTGGGTTATGAATGAAAAGGATTGGATTCAAGGAATTGAACCTTGATTTCCTTAAATTTGTTTGATTCGAGTTCAATCTTAAGAATGATTCATGGAATAACAAGATTTGGTGTGAGAATCAACCATGTGTAAGATGTACTTACATGATTGTGGACATATATTATGAATTTTGAATATATGGAAAAGATGAGACTTTGATTTATAACTTTAAGCAAGATTAATGTATTTGAGATGAAATTACACTTGAATGATGTTAGTTTATCATGTTGTGGGGTAATTTTATATGTTTTTGAGTGATTAGAGTTGAAACCTAGCTTAGAAAGAGGAAAAACAAGTGTTAGAGCCAACAGGGATTTTCGGACAACAGATTTTGCCTAGAGCCGCATGTGGGACAGTCCACTTCCAGCACCTAAATTTATTCTGAAATAAAAGCACGTTGTCCCGCACGTGTAGCCCAATTCCCGCACGTGCGGGGCACCTCTGTTTCAACTCAACTTCAAATAAGCATATCTCTTGCATCCAGACTCCGTTTTAAGTGATCATTGAGCCTAAATTCAAGCCTCGAAAGTCTAGTTTCCAATGGTGGTGGTTTCACTCCAAAATTCTAAGTACACAAATAGATATGCCTAAATTAGTGAAGATTGTTCACTTTCTGTCTACCGATTTTATACCATTTCTTCTTCTAACCCAGTTTCCTTTCGTTTTCTCCTATTCTCTTACACATGGATTATGACCTATTGAGGACTAATGAGTTTATAACCAAAATAACTAATTGATTAAAAATCAAAGAAAAGGATCGGTTATATTCATATGTTGTGTTATGTACTTGTGATTGTAGGTCAAGACGAGGACATCATCCAGTTGCTACCAGAAGCCCATCACTGTGAGTAACAGTATAGTAAAGGTATGTTTTTCATTATCTATTGTGTGACATGATTATCTAAATATCTTATTTTGTTAAAATGCACAAGTTTCGAAGAAAACTAAAATGAGTCATGAATAAGAAATGTGAATTGTTTATAATATGATATGGTGAGCCCAAGGCCGTTTTGTTTATCCGTTCCTCTTATGCTATGGCATGATATGAATTGTTCGATCTTTAAGGCCTAATCATTTTGGTATGGAACAAAGTATTGTACGAAACTAAGTGCTATAGTGTGAGTCACCTCTATGGTCCGTACGAGACGCCTCTTGGGTCCATACATATATGAATTAGGCCCAAGGAGAGGTGGAGAAATGTCGATGTTCCATTTACTCCATAACAAGATATAGTGATACGATATGATTCGCTTCGACTTAAGATCGTTTGATATATATGATTGGGCCTGAGGCCATTTTGTTATATGTGGACCCAAGGTCATTCCGAAACTATGGTATGAATATGAATGGTTTTACATCGTTATATGACTCATGTTTACAAAATATTATTTAATATGCATGAATGGATGTTCTATTTTGAAATGTGAATCTAGTACCACGTACCACGCAAAATGTTTTGTGATGATGTCAAATATACATTCCATTTGAAAAAGCATGGATTTTGATACAATAAAGTTTGTTTTAACATGATTTAAGTTACATTTCAGAATTGTGAAATATGTTTTCTTAATGTTAAGGACATCATCCATTACCCTCTTTACTTTAATATTACTCACTAGGCGTTATGTAGGTGAGCCATCGAGGATCAACACTAGAGTTGTATCGCGGTCCGCCTATCTGTCAAGCCACCCATGAAGTGTCTCCGCGTAGAGACGTAGTATAATTTACCAAGCTTAGTTTTGTTCAAGCTATGATGGCTTTGTTGTGCATTAGGTTCATATGTAAATTTTGGGTTGTGAACTTTTGCCTATACCTATATGACTTGGACTGTATATCCATGAACTGCGTATGTGACATTTGTATATTTGATGTAATGTTTAAAGACCCTGGCATTTAAGCACTGCTCAATGGACGTTCTGTTATTATTTTTGGTATCTACTTCTGCTTAAGGCCCCATATTTGGATAAATATTATTTAATTTTTTTTTTTTGAGGCCTAAGTACAGGCCGATCATGGACCAAAGTTTTAGGGATGGGTTTGGGTTGTGACGGTTGGTATCAGAGCACGAGTTATGATCACACACACGTGTCCATTGAGCATTAGTGTGTCTAGAATGCATTTAAGTTGCACATATTTCATAATAAGGTGATATGTTGTGTGTTTTGGAAGATGTATGTGAGCTTGTGTAACGAGTTAAGTGTTGAGATTGTGATTGTGAGCTTGCGTGTTTTGCATGCTTTGCGTGTTGAATTGTTGCCTAAAATTGATTTTTGCTTCAAGAGGTATAACACTTGCTCTTTTAACTTGTTTTGCATACTTGTTTTTCTATCTTTTCCTATTGATTTTGGGTTGTTTTTGGGCTTAAAAAACTCTGGCTGTGTTTGGTTGTGTTTCCAAACAATGATTCTACACCCATATTCAAATATGATGTTTGAAACCAATTCTCAAATCACGTTTCCAAAACTCTACAGAAAACGGATTCTCAAATCATGTTTCTAACTGAATAGGTGTATCTCTTTCTGTGGTAGAAACGAAAACCTCAGCCCGACTACTCATTGGTGGGGTGGACAATGATTGCTGAACCAACGACTACTGTACTGATATTCCCTGCCTAACTGCCCTCTGCCTTGTAACCGGGGGTAATGAAAAGAACACTGCTTGTCCGTCAATTAAATCCTCAGATCGATGAAGCCTTCTACCTCTAACCCAGAGTGCTTTGGGGAAAACTGCCTCCTCGGAAGCAATGATGCTATACTACTTTGCAAAAAGATAAATAAAGCAAAATAAGGAAACAACAAGCAAAAAAACGGATAGCATTTCGGCTTTAAATAAATACAACACACAGTTGATAATCACAAGCTGAAAGAACTATTCTCAAACACTGATTGCTGCCCTCAAATCACTTCCTCAAATCTGATACCCCCAAATACTGATGTTCTCAGATTGATATCCAGACTTGCAAACTGATACATGCATTCTTGTAGAGACACACTCTAAAAGCACATAGTAAGCAAGTGAGAGCCAAAACACCCCTATGGAGGGGTAGGGTTTCCTTGTCCTATCTTGTCAGGAGCTAGGGTTTCACGATGCACGCAGCGGTTTCAAACAACCTCAATCGGGTAAGCAACTTGTCCTAGTTTAGAATGGTCACTATGGCTTTCGATATGCAACTAGGTCGAATGGTCAAAAAGGGTGCCTTGGTAAAAACTGAGGTTTGTGTTTCCATCATGGCAGAGCCCATAACCGGTCAGTCTTATGGCACACTTTTCCATGCAAGCCTCCGACAAACCGTTTAGGAATAGCAGATGGCAAACACTGTGACTTAAGCGCACCAATGCAAATGCAATGCAAAGAAACACATAAGTGTAGATAAAACAACATATCATGATGTTCGAGTCAAGTTCTCTAAATCCCTAGCAGAGTCGCCAGAAACTGTAGATCACCCGAACTCTCTCCGCGCGCGAGGCGTGAATTGGGTTCATAACTATTACAGTTCGGACTCCTATCGCGGTTCTGAATCTAATCTCACAAAGTGCAATGTAAGACTGATAAATCACCAAAGAATCCAATCTGGCAAATCATTTTGGAAAATCAGATTTTGAATCAAAAATGCCAAACTGGACTGCTTTGCCAGATTACAGAGTCGCCACCTAAATATTTTGTTTTGAAAAATTTAGGGAACCCTGACTCGTGCCTAAGGCCACGTGTCCGTCATCACCAAAGTTGCATCGGTTCGGGAACTTGGGTACGAGAGGGGAAGGTCTGGAAATGAGCACCCCTATTTGCCTGATCAAAGATCGGCCTCTACTAACATGATATGTTATTTTATAAACACATGTGTTCTTATTCCGGTTATTAATCTAACTTACTAGGTGATGCGCACAACATACAATTATAGACTAGATCACCTAAATTGGAACAAAACAATTCAATGTTTGTTTTCGAAAATAGTTTGAAAGTGCTACTTGCAAGTAGGCTAAAGCGCGGATTTGCCACCCTCAAGTGGGCTTAAAAACATGATTTTGCCACTCCGCAAAATGGGCTTGAAACACACATTTGATGAATTGTAACGCATATTTGATGAATTGTCCCAATTCAAGCAATAAAGCCTTCATCCACAGGCATTCATGCAATTAAGTTAATCATTTAAGCACATAGCCTCATGGCAAGCATGCTAACATGGCAATCACTTACACACATGCAAGGATGGTAAAGCGTAAACACTTACAGTGTACTCCGAGCCAAAACAGGAGCTAGTTAGAAATCAATGCATGATCCTAGCTATGTTAAGATGCCTAATGCAATGCATGCAAAAATGTAACTAAATAAGCTCGGCCATCTAAGATGGCATACGAATGCAACACTTGATAGCATGCTGTGAAACACGTATTTAAGTAAGTATTGAAATACGATGCAGTTTGTATGATGCGCCGAGCTTGGTGCATGCAAGACAAATGAATGATGCACGCATATAAGCATAAGGTATGCTAATTGAAATATGCCTAAAACTAACCATCAAAAGCTGATAAGTAAAAGAGAGAAATAAATATAGGTTGGAAGACATGCACACACACACACACACACGCACCCTTATTACAACATTTTCCCTCTCGACGGAGGGTCCGAATAAAATGAAAGCTAACTAGCTACGCTAATTAAGCTAACTATTACAAACCAACTAATTAACTAACTATTCTAGCTAATTAATTATTACAAACCAAATTGAATAACTAGCTAATCTAAGCTAATTAGAATATTACAAAGCATTAACCTAAATCAATTACAACACAGGTAATCAACTATAACTAGCTAACAAAAGCGATAAATGGCCTCGCGGGTGAGGGGGACATGCATGCTCGGTTGCGTCCTCTCGAAAATCCACCGCCTTGCCTCGAGACGCCTCTGTTTGCACTCTTTTGAATCTTTAAAAATTATACTGATTTCCAAATTGCTTCTTTCTGATCTCAAGAACACCTTGAGGGCTGAAATTCTTCCTGTTGCTGCAACAGAGCATAGACAGAGGCAAGACAGTGTATTTGCAAGAAAATGTATGCACTTCCATACTCCTTATCATATCTCAAGCTCAAAGGAGTATGGCACTTGACTCTCGAGCTGCCAACCAAGCACTTTCAATGCATGATGGCCAAAGGATCAAGCATGCGCAAAACTCGATGAATGCACAATCAAGGGGGACAACGACCAAGAAATGAGGCGCGTTTCATCACTTCAAGTATGAAATGCCTCTCGTTTCTCGTGTTTGGATTAACGTCCGATCCAAACACAATGCAATACAACACACATGTAAACAACATGCTTATCTATCAATGCTAGAGTGGCATGCACAAGGCTCTATCATGTAAGCAATGCATGCATGGTATGTTTAGAAGTTAAGGCATTAAAGCAAGTGAGGTACACAACACTAGGACTATGCAATACTATGTACAAACAACCAAATCAGCCAAAAACAGAGCTATATCATGGCAAATCAGTGGCAAAAAATGCTCAAACTAAGGCTCAAAGGAGTAGAAAATCATGCTCCTTTGGTAGCTCACAAATAAGGCACAAGGGCACAACTCTCAAAAGCTCTCAAGGAGTGAAAGAAGTGAGAACATGACACATGTATATGCTCTGAAATTACATGTTAAATGATGCCAAAACATGCAACCATCACAAGCAAAGCATGCTAGGGTGCACAAAACTCAAGACTAGCTAAGGCACTTGCACCATAGCCATATCAAGCAAGCCCCAAAGGACCAAGATCACTCAAAACAGTCCTAAGATAGATCAAAACATAACCAAAATGTGCTGGATTAGAGCATACACATGCTAGATCAATAGGCTAAAACACCAAACATACTAGGCTAGTGAACAAAATTGCACTACAAGTGCAAGGAGCATGCAAGAGGCAACCAAACCAACTCAAAACAGAGTTATGACGTGGAAAATAATGGCTAAAAACATACTGAGATGGAGCCAATTCAAGGCACAAAGACATGCTACTTTGCAAGGCTACAAGGAGGATTACACTACAAGTATAAGAAGCATGCAAGAGGTGACCAAGACAGCCAAAAAGAGAGTTACGGAAGGTCTTAAAAGTCACAAAAATGATCCTAAACAAAGCCTCTAAAAAGTAGAAACACATGCTCTTTTGGAGGGCCATCAACACATGCAAACAAGAGAAGAGGAGGGGGGGACCACCCCTGCCCATTTGGGACCTCAAAATCACTTTTCCACCACTGAAATTCCTCTGAGTTTCAGTGGTGAGAAGGCCAAAAAGAGATGGCCTCAAAGGCCTTAAAAGATGGCACAAAGCAAGGAAAAACAAGCCACCAAAGGGGTTAAACCACCCCTAACTCATACAAAGCCTTAAACAACCATTTTAAATACTTCAAAACAGAACTTTTTTCAGTTGAAAACTAAGCCTAAAATAACATGCAAAGGTGGCTAAATAAGCAATGGAAATAAAGCTTTAAAGAGGCTATTACTCACCCTTGAAGCCCAACTTTAAAACCAGCCACTTTTGAGGCAAAATCAGGTCAAAGTCACTCAAATAAGGCTCCCAAGTATCTTAGCTCAATGATGGTGGTGTTTGATCAAGAGTTCCTTTGCAAATCCACCAAGAATTCCCACTTTCAAGCACTTTTAAGCACAAAAATATAGAGAGAGAATTCTAGAGAGAGTAGATTTTTTGCTCTAAAAAATCTAAACACTCTCTAAGGGGGAAGCACTTCCCCTTATATAGAAATGCAAGCTAAAGCTTGCTCAAATCCCTCTCTACACGTGTAGGGAGGATGCATTTTGTGCCTAACAACTGGCACAGTTGGCACTAAAAATATCTACAGAAAGTGAAAAATGGCCGCCGACCACTCAAAGTGGTCGACTGACCACCCCACCCAGTCGACCGACCACCTCATGTGGTCGACAGGGAAAATACCTGGTCGACAGGGCAAAAAAGGGGTCTCCCAAGAGAGGAGAAGGTGGTGGCATGCTGCTGACCACTTAGGTTGGTCGACCGACCACCGATCTTAGCTGACCGACCACCAAAAGTGGTCTACAGAGAGAAAAGTGGTCTACACCACTGTTTCTCCCTCCAGGCAAAAGGGGCACCAAGGTTTTGGCTTAAAACAAGCACAAAACCAAGAGAGTTCAGAGACTTAGGGGCAAGGCGCGCAACCGAAAACCTGGGGGACTCCAAACGAGCACAATCATCGAGCGCTCAATCGATGACATCCAAGTCTTTAGGACGGTCAAAAATGGAGTGTCTACAGTACAGTAAAATGAGTAAACAAAATTGGAATTTAAAATTTTTCAAGATAAGAATTGTTTTGTTTGGTGTGTTCAAATTGGATGTTAATTTGAACACAAGGAGAATTGGGGTATTTCATACTCAAAGTGATGAAATGTGTCAATTTTTCTAAGCTCTCCATTGCCCTTGATTATGCATGATAGGGTAAAGGTTTTTGGTCTTGTTTGTCCATTTATTAAACTTGTACATCTTGGTTCTTTAGCCATCATGCAATGAAATTGCTTGATTAATGGTCTTTGAACCAAGTGTATCACTCATTTGAGCTTGTTTTGATGATAAAGAGGGATACACAGTACAAACAACCTGTGAGAATACCCTTTTTTACTCTATTTGCTCTCAGTTGCAGCAAGAAATAATGCATCATCAGTGGCCGGCCGGCCCCTATTTCTGGCTGGCCAGCCAGCCATCATTGTTGGACAGCAACCCCCTG